GCTGTTTCCATGCAGACGATTCCGGCTTTAACAATCGTATGATGATAACCCTGTTACTAACTCTTTAACTTGAATTAATGTTGCGGGAATCGGCATGTGATGACTAAGGCCAAATTAGTGTCCAGTCTCCATTAACTGCACAATAATCAAACATGAGATAACCCCGTATCCAAGTCCCATGGAGTGATGTTTCCGGATCAGGTCAGAAGGCCGCCTTGTCGTACAATCTAAGTAAATGGCATTGCAGACGCACTTGAGTTGGTAGATGAGCCCTGACGAGGTCAGCGTAAGTCATTTGTCCCGTTTTATGGCATTCGACCACTAGTGATGTGCAATTCCTGTTTGGCAGCAGCTACTACTGCCACAAATATGAAGTCTCTGTAGCTTCACTCTTAGGCCGGTATTTTCGGATGTTCATGGAAAAAAATCGAGAGGGGTCCACCACACAGTTGAATCATGTCGATCATTCCTATAGATACATTAATGATGTATTTTGTGTGTCCGAGGAAAATTCGGTCACGAACGATTTTGTCGGGACTTGATACAGCAAACCTAGCTACAAGCTCCCCAGTTCAGAAGAAAAAAAACAACTACCTCTTTTCCCATCAGGCTTTAGCCAAAACCCGCAATCCTTTAGCCTCGACCCACAAACATGACTACTATGAAACTGGAAGGAGAAATGAGTCTGTCGCTACCTGTTTAATGTCATAGATCGACTTCACCCTTTTGAACTCACCATTTATCCCCTCGCTACTCTCACACAAATGTGATTGCGCCGGTTCGCGAATGGGATCTCGAGAAGCACTTGCATCTATTCATACTGAAGCATGATTTCCAACGAAAAAAACAAGCTGATGCACAATACTTTCAGTACTTTTCTGTGCTGCGTGGTAAACTTGTCTGGCTGTGGTCCAGTGGTTCAGTTGATCACGTTATTTTGTTGAATTATAAAATGATTTAACGATTTCCGACCTCCGGAACCGTGTTGGGTTAACGTTAAAACGATGCACGTATGGGTGATGGGGGGATGAGTACTGAGATAATGTCCAACATGAGTGAAACAAATGCACACAGGTTATTGTAAGGCTTATTGTGATTTCTTTGACGATTCCGGTTTGTTCCACATTAGTCAACGGAAATCCTTAAGAAAAATCGATGTAAATGTAAATTTGGCTGCACACCTACAGAGGCTTCTTTAAATTAAATGACAATCAGAGACGTTTAGAGAAAATCGCAAAAAGTAAGCAACAAATATTATTTTATCAAAATTAGATAGTTTTATCAAAGTATTGACTATATGACTCAGATGTTTTTAAGCCACAATTTTAATTCGGAATAGAATAAAACAAGCGATAGGTTTTCCTTTGCCTAACTTCACAGAGTCTCGTGTCCGGAATTCCGGACAAACTTTAAAGTAGAATATTCTGATGATTTCTTTCACCCTCCGAATTAAGTTCAAATTTTGGTCCGTACAGCTAGCTAGTGCAAACAGAGCTCACCCTCACATTAGATAACAGTAACATACAACAAAAAATGAACTACATTGGTCCTGATGAGAAGACGTGTGCAAAAACCGGTTAGTTTACTCGATTACTGTTCGAGAAACGAAATGACCACGAACAGTCAATTCTAGGTAAATGATAATTGAGAAGAACATATGAAATAGACCCGGTGGATGGACTAACTCATGTAACCATACACCGGTCAATTTAGAAAGGTTGAGAAAAATTGAGCTCAAAAATGAGCCCTGGATAGGGTGTAGTCGCTGTTCGTCCAGTTTGAATTCCATAATTACTCACTAGACAAACGACCCATATTGATTTAATGTGATGCGATGGTGATCATACAATTCGTAACCGTACAAGGAAAGACAAAATTTAATTGCGGTTCCAAATCAACGTATCATAAACATCCACTGTTCGAATACAGGAAGCGTCAGACAAACCAGAATCTACAGTTCCCAAGCTGATAAAACGATACCAAGAAAGCGATACATAAGTGGCTACACTGTATTGTCACCTTTTATCTATGTACCCTCTATAACTTAAAATACATTTTGTTTTGCTAGGTGTATCTTACCCGTTTACGCTCAATCTTGGAACTGTCACTAGTCCCGGTGAGTCGCGCTGTCTCGTTGCAGGTCTCACTCTATAAATCGTTGTTCATACGTTATCCGCTTTGTTACCCGTTCAGATCAATAGTCCTATTGCTGTTGACCGCAATCACGAGGGTTGAGGTAAATTGTGTTCATTTATCGTAGACAGCACGTGCTATCCAAACATGTCGCAGGCTCTTTGGTTGTAGTCGATCTGTTATGGCAATGCGTCGATACCCCCGAAGGGACCGCATTTTAGACTCATCATTACAATAGGAATATGATTTTTTCCTATTCAGTAGGTCCACCAAGACAAACGTTGGACAAGTGTGATCTGAATGCACCACGGCCGAACCAGTCATGGTTCTTTAGATGAAAGCTAACTTATTCGTTCCATCAGACCCCAACAGAACCCCTGCCACTTCACAATGTTGATAAACTCATTCCGTTCGCGCATATCCCTTCGATCTCCACACTATCATCTTCATACTTGTTGATCGTATTAAAGTTGTTTCCTGATTCCACATAACATTACCCAATGTGCTCCACACCAGCAACTCTGATTCATCACCCGATCGGGATGAGAATTTTGACGGTAGTCGTACATCCGAAGAATATTTAACGCCCGTTGCTGTTCAGACCACAGAGAGGGCAACTTATACTGATTTCTCTGTATTGTTTTACGGACGTGGAAGGCGTACTCTGAGGTTCGTCTGAAAATTTCCATATTCGAACGGTGAATTTCCTGGAATTCTGTGTGTCAATAACCTAACACACTCAGCGTAGAACTAATAGCAACACGCACCCACAAGGATACCTTTTCTATAGAGTAAATCGGTTTACGAATAAGCTAACTGATGCAGTAGTTCAAATAGTTGTTTGGCAGATTTGAAGTTTGTATGTAGATTGTGAAAAGTTCAGTAGCCTCGGTGGGATTCGAACCCACGCATGGACGCCGCCTACGCTTTGTACGCACATGCTCTACCAGCTGAGCCACAAGGCCACACCGACAACACTGATCTTTTCACATTCGAATTTACCCATCCAGCTCACAGAGGCATGTGGCATCCACCAGTTAGCATCTAAGCTGACTGTCAGGTGGCTCAGCTGGTAGAGCATGTGCGTACAAAGCGTAGGCGGCGTCCATGCGTGGGTTCGAATCCCACCGAGGCTACTGAACTTTTCACAATCTACATACAAACTTCACATCTGCCAAACAACTACTTGAACAATTAACCTTGTCCTAGAAGGTCATTCGGTGGAGTCCGGTGAATTCTAAGGAAAACCTTTCGGGGTAGTTAGCTTCATTCGAACTGGTGGATGCCACATGCCTCTGTAAGTTGGATGGGTAAATTCGAATGTGAAAATGATCAGTGCTATCGGTATTGCCTCGTAGCTCAGCTGGTAGAGCATGCGCGTGATGCAGTAGTTTTTTAAAGAAAGATAGGGTGGTAAACAACTCTTATACCTTGTACGGCTATCCCTCATCGGTATACTTCTGTGAACGTTCAGTTGGTGGTGTCAATGAATTTGTTTCATTTGCGCGACATAAACTTTCGGATAGAAGTGATGCAAAAACAATGTTATTCGTAATATTTGACGGTCCGTAATTCAATAATTTGATCTATGATCATTAGATTTCATATAACTTACCTTGAGACAGCTGATGTATAGCTTAATTTCAGTTATGAACACCTGGTTTCTTTTGTGTGAACTGGTTATACCATGGGTACCAGATCACGAATGAGTCGGAATGGTGATATGAAACGAAATGTTGGGGTGTATTGCAAGCATAAGGCTCGTATTTGATGAGTTGGAGCCATATGTAGGACAGTAAAGGATGGATGTGATTGTGTATTCAACAGATTCGCTGAAGCTCATTTGATAAGGATAGGATGGTCAAAACGTAGACTACGTTGACAGGTTTGTTTGTAATGTACATAAATATTGACAATCATAACTTCATGCTTGCGTTCACATGCCGCTCGATTGCTTCACAGACAACGAACTGAAAGAGTGCGAACCGGTTTTCGTAGCTCTAAAATGCAGTCACAGAGGGCATCGATGGTGTCTAGTGTTAAAAAAACAATCATTTTGCTTAATTAAATGTGGATCGATAGAAAGAGAGAAACATGAGCAGCTTTGAGTCGATGAACTCGTACAAGAGCAGCATGAAACTCTATAATGACATCATTCCCTTCGTACTCTAACCAACATACGAATTTGTCATTCTTTGTCCGGGAGACTGTTTAAAGCTTGCCGAACTTTAATGTATTGAAGTCAAACTAGAGTGCACATTTGTCTAAGGAATGGTACCAACAGATTGATAAGTCTCTAGATGAGACCAGGAATAGAGCACAATTTTGTGCTTACAAATTACATACCTAAAAATTAACGAGATCAGTAAGTCAAGAAGTGAGACACAGGGGAATGACCACGAGTTTGGACAATCAACCTCTCGCCTGAAATACGTGAATACACACGGGTCTCAACAGGATTCACACACATCAACCCGCTGCGTTTATATTCTCCAATCACCTATGACCTCCTTCAGACAACCAGTCCAGAACAAAATAACATCAAACATAGTAAATACATGCTGTGGGAGATATTGTTTACAGTTGATAATGACATTCTGCATGCATCTTGCAAAACCACTTAAAATAGTGAAAGGGTATTCTTGTAGACTGTGACAAATACGAACGGGAAGTCGGACCGGATCAGATGAGACACAAGGGAGACTGTGTGTGCATGTATGAGAGAGAGGGAAAAGGGTGACAAGGTGGGGGTGTCAGTAAATCACATGACTGCTGCTCACATGGCTCAGATCCAATAGCACGGCTGGATTGGAATGTAAAAAAGGAACTCGTTTGCTTGTGTGTGTGTATATAGGGGAGAGGGATCATCAGAATGCGTAACCTGGATTGGTCCCTAATCGGCCCGGTTCCGGTTGCTTACAGAACAATGGTTTTTGACTATCTTCTCGAACCCGAAGATGCATACGTAGCAGAATGTGTTCCAGCACACCGGTGCGAATATCCATGGCAGTGATTTCGGATTTGAGTTTCTGAATGGCTTGTTTAATTCGTACAACTGGGGATCCATCAGTCATGCTGGAGCCACGTTCATCCATTTCGTCCTTCACTCGTTCCAACTCTTCGCCAATCTCGGCCAGGACACGGCTTCGTTCTGTGATTCCACCACTGGCTTGTCTGAAACGCTGTGTGACTTCCGATAGGGTATCCTATTATTAAACAGACCGCATAAAAATGAACCTGTGTTGAATTTTTATGACAAAATATTGGAATCAATTTACAGAAATCAGCAGTAGTTATGTTTAATGGCACAGTTTTTAAACTGAGTCAAACCCTGCATTGGTCCCAATGAAAAATCTGTACTGACTTCTGATGCCTAGACGAATCGTAAGCCAACATGTTCACAGTGCCAGAAAATCGTTCAATCTGATCATGCACCCTGTAAGGGCGCATGATTATCAACGAAAGTCAATGTGGCTATTGATTTTCTCAATGTGTTCTCTGACAGATAACGGGCTGATCTGGTTTCCAGTCTTATTAGTGCTTGTTTAATGATCGAGAATATGTTTGAATTGGACATATACTAACTGGAGCAATTTGCTACGGACGCATTTATTTGCTTGTGTCAACGGTGGGTTTTTAGCGCGTTCCTTAAATCATTTTTAATTGACACTCAGGGGATAAAATCTTGTCTCAATCCGCAACGGTTGGTCAAAGATCATTATAACTTCTCTTCTGGTGATCTAAAAGTGAAAGGCCCTGAGTTGATTTACAATTTGGGACAATATTTTGAACGACTAGGTTACGGAATCTTTCGAATCCCAACTTAAAAAAAATAAGAGAGATACCTATTTTTTCTGATCACCCTGTGCACTTTTTCATTCTTGATTTCCCCACCAGCTGTTGACCATTATATAACTTTATTTATCCTCAATCATTGACGTCCAACAGGGCACGGTAAGCTGATCAATTGTGACCGAAATTAGAAAGATATTCTCACTTATTTCTACACATCCGGAAAATATGACCTAATTATCGAATTGCTTTGAAAGCATCATCATCTCATCAAGTCATTCGCAATCAGATATATACATATATATATATATATATATCAATAGAATATTCACTAACCTGAACCATTTTATACTGACTGAGTAATGATTCCAACTGGCTATTCATGTATTTCTCCCGACTGTTGATTTTATCCAACGCTCGACCGAGCTCTCCGTGAAGTCGTGTTAGTTGAGTTTTTGCGTCCGTGTAGGCACGATCTATATCCAATTGGTAACGTCTCATATCTTCCAAATGCGCTCGCCAATCTTTGGCATCGTTGCGTATTGTGATACGCAGCTGAGGTAATACCCGTTCTACCTCCAGCTGCCAATCCGCAGGATCCGTGTTCGATTCGAGTACACCCAAAAGTCCGCAGGAACTTTTGTTCTCAAGAACACTGTCCCGCAGAACCGGACTGTGACTCTTTCGATTCACTTCTCGTCCGTCCTTATTCAGTGCGGGACGACTGAAACGAGAGCCCCTGGTTTTCAGACCTGTGTGAGGATTATTAAGAAGGTCAAATCAAAAGAAACAATTTACACAGTCAAACAGACTAATACGCGGTCATAGAGCTTTGCACAATCATCGCTTTCTATAAGAAATCGGGCACAAAATGAAATGGTACTAGTTGGAGCTTTATTATGGAAGCGATTCAGGCATATAATATTAAGATTCGAGTGCTTCTAAATTCATGAGTTAGCATACTCGGTTTCCAGTGCGAAAGAAATTCCAGTTACCAAATAGTCGCATATGAGCGAACTATCATAACTGTGCTATTCACGGATCGCAAGGCACAAAATGAGGCCGTTATGAAAGTCTAACGGAAAGATAGTTTGAGCTCGTGTGGTATAAAATGTTGTCTTCATTCTAATGCAGATATTCATAATGGACGAATGTAAACTCCCCATAATCTGACACTAGCTACTTTCGGCTTCTCATGCATAGAGGGTTGAAAGACCGAAATAGAAGTTGGTTGTATTGTTCTTATTTACAATCGGTGCATACCTTCCAAATCGAGGACATCATCTTCGTCTTCATCATCGCCAATATCTGCAAAACCGCCAGGAACTTCGTCACCACTGACTGCTTTATTGCTTGCCCAACGGCCTCCGGATTGTGTTCCTCGCCATTCACAAAGATCCTCATCTGTATTGGACAAATCAGCTTCTTCAATGTCCAGTTCCTCCTCTTCTTCTTCTGTGTATTTGGGAACTTTAAACTCGTGCCCATTTATTTTTAAGGCAGAATCAGCTAGCCTGGAAAGCACCTCAATGCAATGTTCGCCATGGCCACTTTTCAGTTTAGATGGAGCAAACTCAACCACGTGACCCAGTTCACGTACGGCGTCCAAAATTGTGGCAATTGTCGCGTTCGGATCATCGTACTCTTGGGGTGGATCGATTTTCCCATTCGCTCGCCCAATCAACCAAGCTGCGAGTGTAGTGAAATTGTGAAATTGTTCTCCGGGGTTAGTAGGAATGGCAAAGTAGTGTCTTGGCACCGGTTTTCTATGCCTAACTCTGAAATAAAGGAATCAATGTGAATGCAGTTCAGCGAAGGGTTAAAACCAACTCACTTGCAAAAATCACGCTCATAATTCAGTAACTTCAGCTTTTCTGATAAGCATTCCATCTTGTTGAATGTGGCATACATATTCACCGGTGCATCTTCGCTCCCATCAGGTGCCATTGGTTTATCTGAGGACATCTGTAATATGGACAAAAATGTTGCCATGTGAATTAGCGTATGAACCAAGTGAATTATAGATCGCTCTTTAAACATGCCTAAAGTGTGCCTTTTCTTGTGATTACAATGTATCTGATCTCTTCCGTCTTCAAAGAGGGCGGTTCAGATTGGGCCATGTCATGTCTTGGCCTAAGGTTGCTAGTCTCCATGAGTGAACAACAGGATACCGTAACAACCATGATTATCTCTTTATTTTTACTAAAAAAGCATTTTTGTTATCACAGAGTACACTTTACAAACTGAATTTTCTATAAAAAAGAAATGAAAGATTTCACGGTAAAACTATCCTCATTCATAAAGGAACTCGGAAAAAATCTCGTTTGAAACAGGCCTAATTCCTGTTACTTACACTATTAAAAATTCGGTACGAGAGACGTTCCCAGAGTCACTCTTTTTCATTTCGAGGACACACCTCTAGACTTTCCACAGCCAAGTGTGGACTACAAGTAAGCAGCATGTTAGTGGCTCCGGGGAAGCGCATTTGCCATTCGGTAGAGGTGGCTGCAACCCAGGGGTCTATGCATCCCCGTAAATTGAACAAATTTTCTTCATAGCTGTTAGATCAAGTAATGAATCTTGCCCACTCATTGAAAAACAGCTGTTCGCATACTTTATTTAGTCTCGCAGGGCTTTGATACCTCAGTTACCCTCAAGCTGGTTTAGCCCGCCTATCGCACGGCTTGCTGGGGTGTGACCTCTTAGGTATATCTTAGCTTCGAGGATCCACAGGTGAGAGTTGGGTTCACGATGAAAAACAATCAGGAAGAAGATGCCCCAAAAGTAAACGATAGTACACACGCTCAGAAGTGCTACTTCTATCACATACTCCGTGCATACCCNCCCCCCCCCCGCTTCTACAACACTTGCATACGGGATTACCTTTACAGCTCCATTTTGAGGATAGTTTGACACCAGTCATAGAATTTCAATCACCAGTATGGAAGTCACTTCGACGGATTCGAGTTCACTGCTTTTTGCTCTAAGTAATGTGCTGAACGATGCAGAGAGCTATATGTTCCCTTTTGTGGTAGTACAACAAAGAGTACATTTAACGATCACCACCTCCACCAAGAACAACCGATGTAACCGGGTCAGCAGGAGCCGACCATGCGCTTCAATCCTGAAAGCTTATATTCGGTTATCACATGTAATCTTAGAATCAACTTATTTTTTAATTCTCTTCACTCCCTTTCTGATCAAATACATAGTGGTATGAGTAACTCCGAAAAGGGCTAGTGTATCTCATATGACACAAAGGAAAAGTCGAATAGCGGAGGTGCAATGCGAAATTGAACTCGATGATGCAGATCAACACCAAATGTTGCCAGCAGTTGGGTCTTTGTTAGTCATGATTTTCACATATCCATTAATCCCACTTTATAATGTAAGGCATATCGTTCACTCACAGCCCATCCACAACTCCTCATTGAAGATCTCATTCAGAATGGGGAGGAACAGATTTCAGGCAATAGAGTATACCACACAATGGAATGAACGGATTCACCGTACAGTAAAGATAACTGCCACACAAAAGCACGAGGTGTAAAATTTTAAACCACTTTAGACCCCAGTATTTCCACTGGAATAGTTGGAAACGAGTATCATCCGCAAATCGCTAACGCAGTAAAATTCGGCCACACTCCTTGAACTTGGCCGGTTTATGAAACGTATTCACCCAATTAGAATTTAAGCATAGCCCCCTAACATATCTCGCCATTTTCAAATCCTCGCATCAATATCTCTTAGTTTCTTAGTTATTCCTATCAGACTTAGAAGAAACAAATCACACCCTGGCAGTATAATCAGACAACAGTAACTGGTTTTATTACCGTGTGGTAACCGCCCGAGTTCAGGGCACGCTAATGTTTTCAACAGGGGGTCTACCTTCCATCTAGTTTCGATTTATCAGTACACTGCTGGTTTTCATAAAACAGAATTTTCTAACATCAGAGAATGAGAAGACAGCCAACTTTAGTGTGAAATGATGGAAATATGAACATACGGGAAGATATGAATTTATCGTGTTGTTTATTAACTCAGGCATGTAAACTGTTCCGTTTAACAACGTAACTGTCGTAAAGTTATACTTACACGAAGCAGCTAAAAAAGTATGTAGAAATCACAGCTCTAAAATTTGCATAGATGATAAAACGTGAATCCAGCACTGGTTAACTTGCCAGGGGAAGAGGAGCCAAAAAACCGTTCTCCGTAATGACGGAAAATGGTTCGGCACCTTATAGTTTTAGGAATTTAAAAAAATCAATAAACTGTCGATTGTTGGTAAGAGCATGGTTGTTCGGCAATAACCAACACCGATTTCTTTCTAATGATTTGCTCTGTTGAAGTATTTTCATGCTTTTAGGGTGGAAAGTTCAGAGTCCCCTCCCAAACTACCAGTAACCGGCTCTTTAAGACATCCTTGGTTGAAATATGTTCAATAGACTACAACCGACATCCCATCTGCATTTGGGTCTAATCCAAAGCAGCTTAACTAAAGGCTTCTTCTCATCGGTCCTCTGTTTCGCATAACTGAAAGGGCCCACATGGAGCTGGATGTTTTGTCTGATACTGCACCAGCAATTGCTTATTGTCCTTCTGAGAACATGATACAGCTCCCGTACTCCTCCTTTTCTCTGACTTAGCTCCTCGCGATACCCGTTACAAGCATTAAAGTAACCTATTAAACTGTGATTAAAATTTCCTGCAGATGACTGCTCAGTCTGACATTTCATTTACTTTGTTACCATGACCACAAAAATCGTCGTACCCCCACCCAACTGCATTGGGATATTCAGTCAGCGACAACCAACAAAGTGATGTAGTTTTGCACCGTTGGTAATAATCTTGACCGAGTTAAATCTGTACTAAATAATCAGTCGCAGTTTAAACAATCAATGCAATCATGCAATTTCGTGCCTCGCTGTTGGCTGGAGTGCAATGTTTAACACTGCTTTCCATCAAAATTAACGATTCAACTGTCCGAACGCTAAGAATAGAGGATTGCTTAGAGTGAGACAAGTGGTAATTATTATCACTTTTCGTCCAATAATATTTATCACAACAACAAAATGACTTTAAATTCATTACCCTGATGGTGAATACCTATCTTCATTCGGTTTTGAGATTCCTTTTAGGGATGCTCGCTGTTTCTTTCTTTTATATTATTTATTTTCATCGAAAACGCAAGCACGATCCCATTTTACCATAGCGTATTCTCATAGTCTATCACAGACTGATAAAATATTTCAAAACTTTGCACGACAGACGGTGACTTAAAAAAAATTAGCCATCACTTCGTATACGTTTATTTTTGATTGCTTCACAAGCTCTCATGCTTGTTGAATTTATGATGCAAATCACACGAACCAACTAAGTAAAATCTATTCACAAAAAGAGGTAAAGATCTGTACACAGACATCTACCTTTACTAAAATTATTTTACGTCCATTAGGTACGCGTCTGCTCTCACAACAATGACAAGGAACGGAAGCGACCTCACAACCAACACATACAAAGAAATAAATTATCGGCTCCTCGAGGCATGAGACACTGTTCCTCATTGGTATTAAGAGAACAGAACAGAACACACACATGGGTAGCGATGTGAAATTCTCAACGGAGTTTACAAGGAATTATGGGATAGGAAAGTCTCCACTCCATGACCTCACTCAGGAAAGCCAATCGGTTATGGAATACATTGTCTGCAAATAATGTGGAATGATTGTAGCTCGGGATGCGGACTTTGTCGTTCCAGCTCGGAGAACACACCAACAACAACAACACTGTCTGCATGATCGCATGTTCTTGGACTAATAGCGACTGATGCTACTCCGTTTTTCATTAGCTTCTTTATAACCCTTTTTTAATTTCAACTTAGTACGTGTTATTCGTCCAATATTCTAGTCTCTGACAGAGATTCGTTGAAACCTGCGAAATCATCTCCGAAAACACAAACAAATTTTTACTCTATCCGGTTACTTTTACTATTTGTTCAGAAAAAAACAGTGGAAGCTTCGTCTGCTTTCAACGTAAAATCCCTTCCTTTAATACTGAGTGCATCTCTTCCCCTGATATAAAAGGGAAAATTTCCAAGATGTTGGCTAAGAATTTTCGTTTTGTTGAGATCGACCTAGAAAAAAATTACTAGTGGGTTTCAAATGTCCTTAAACGCATCCCGAATAGCCATTAGGGAACACAACTGCTCAAAATGGGCTTTCGAGTGTGATTTTTATTTATTTATTTTCAACCATATTTTACTTTCGGAGATCCCATCGCGAATAGCGAAAGCTAGAGCAGCTTTCCTTAACCTACGACACCTGTAGCGCCGCCATGACATCCGACGGCCCCTTAAGGGAAGGGTGTACATCGCCGCAGTTCGTAGCGTTCTCCTTTACGGTTGAGAGACCTGGCCCCTCCGCGTTGAGGATGCTAATCGACTTTCTGTATTTGACCACCGATGTCTCCGAAGCATTGCTCGTGTCTGATGGGAACACCGGATGAGTAATGACGACGTTCGTCGTCGTGTCTGGGTACGGATAGTCGATGTCTAACGGAAGTAATCGCTCTACACCGCTTCCGATGGCTTGGTCACATTGTGTATGCCTGCCCATCGACTACTTTTCCGTGCTCTCTTCGCACATGCTGGGCAAGGCTGGAAGAAGCGGTGCGGAGGTCAGACCATGACATGACGTAGAGGTATGAAGAAGCTAGCTTCAGCTTCGGCTTCGGTTGGTGCAGCCCGTCTTCCAGGTTGGGGCCCAAGGGATGAGTACTGTCGTCAGTTAGAGACGCTAAGAGATATGGCCCAGAATAGAAGTCAGTGGAGCAAATGCTGTATGACCTGCCTGTCGAAATCCCGTGCCCCGTAAAAAACAACAAGCAACGCGAAAAAGTATCAAAAAGTGTACGATGAAACACAAAAAATTTGTTATCCCAGTTATCTTACATTTTCCCGCGTTTAACTGTCTCACCCTCTTTCCACTCTGTTC